GGTATGTCATTACTAATAGTGTGCGATTCATTGGGATTCTCTTTTTGTACTGCAGCAAATCTTCACGTGGTATTTGGGTGGCTCTTTCAAAAGTACGATCTATCTTTCTTGAGGTGTGTCCTTGTTGGGTGAAGGCCTTTTTGAGGTGGCGATCACAGGTATTCTCCTCAGTGCAAATTCAGTGGTATTGGAGCACTTGGCTGTAAATTACAGCTTTCTTTCTCAAAAAGAAGGGTCTTAGAATCTCTAAGATTCCCTATGCCTGAAGAAGGGTGTTTGAGTCCCAAAGCTTGCAAACAGCTACTCAGTTGGTCTAATAAAAGATATCACATCTACCCAAAGAAGTGTGTCTGGTTTTTTGTGACACCTTAATGTGCATTAAAAGAGGCTAATGTATAGACGTGCCTTATAAGACTGCAGGTGCATCTACATTCATTAATGTGCTTTAAGTAATGCACATTAAATCTAGTACCTTTGGGTATTTATACACATACTTTCTTTCCAACAATGCACTGGAGATCCACCACTTCAATTAAACGAGTCTGTTCTGCACACAAGCTGGGGAAAACTTCACTGCACCACGTGCAGTTGTATAAGCAGTGAAATGCGCATCAGCACACAGAAAATGGCAATGGTGCACTTTTGAAATAAAGCACCTCCAAGGTGTTTTAGTTCAAAAGCGTTCTGCCGCCATTTTGTCAGCAATGACATGCATTTTGCCACTTATACAACTGTATGCATTGCAGCACCAGGTGCTTTTCAAAGCACCCAGGACTGGTTTTTACATATGCTTTTTACACACTTACATGTGTAAAAATGCCCTCTGTTGTGGGCATTTGTGAAGTACTAGAAGTGCTAGAAATTGTGAAGTCTAGATGTGAAGTGCTAGAAAAATGTGCATCAGCCTATTTTAATGCGCATTACCTAAAGACCATGTTTTTTGTGATGCTTTAATGTACATTAAAATAGGATAATGCACATTAAAATGCACGTGTAGATGCACCCTATAATCAGTACCTAAGGCTATACAGTCAGTACCTTGATTGGAAGATCTAATAAAGAAGTTAAATGAACTGGATAGTTTTGAAAATGGACACAACTGTAATTTAATCCTCTCTACTTTTCACTTGGGAAAACATAATGGACATGAAAATTTGCTTGTTTCTTTTCCCTGAACCTCTGTGACCCTAGTATATATGTATATGGCAAAATTGAAAGTGATATTTAGATTATAAATGTATCTTTTCAGATCAGGTCTTGGCTTCCAGTTTCTATGTCCCTTTTTCAGGACAGTATTTTAAGCATTTGGATGCTCTGATCTGAGTCAGGAGGATTACTCAGATACGTACATGTAAATCTAATGTAAAATGTCATGTACTTAAAACAAGTGTTTAAATGTTGTGCTGGAACTGGGCAATGAATTTGAAAGGAAAGGTAAGAGAATGCACCACCTGAAGAGCTGCCTCATTGCAGCTCTTCAGGTGCAATAAGCATATTGCATAAGTACTTGTATCCCATATTTCAGTATTCAAGCTTAACCATTCTATAATTTTTATATTAAAAGTGAATTAAAAAGTATTGACACAGCTCAGTGTATTACTAAAATACTGGCACTGAAATAGGTTGAACAACAATGAACGTACACTGATGTTCAAACATAACATTTGCAAAGTCTTCTCTTCTCCACTGACTTGATACATTTTAAATTAGGATTCATTGCTTCCCTTTTGATAACTGATGAGAGTATCACCAGTGCTACATAAACTGATACCTCTCCTAAACCTTGGTATGCAGGGTTTCCAGCAAATCCGAGTTGAATTTTAGATCACCCTCCCTCCCTCAGTATCCCTTGTCATAGTTCAAGATCTTTCCATTCAGTCATTTCCATTATTCTACAGATTGAATATGATGGTCATTTTAGTGAATAGACAGTCAACTACCCTTTCCACTTAAAACCCATAGATTAGTTACTACATTAGAGGATGGATACAGCAAGATAGGAATGCTTCCTTCTAAAGTAGTTAGACTGGGATGAATAGGTTGCTAATCTCCCCTTCCACCAATGCAGCAGAAATGATATTTATGGCTGCCTCTTGCTTTGTCTTATTTGAGAACAACCTCTAACTTCACTGCAGGCCATCCTCTTTTAGGTTTATTTTTAGATGACCCAGCAAAATTGCAATTCTCTGTAAAATATTCACTTCAGATAGCTTAGCTTTTGTCAAACTAAGATCAGAAAAAAAAAAAAAAGAACCTCTTTGGGATGAGGAAGGAGCATCCTCGGGGAAACTAGGTTCACAATTTGAAGAGAAACAGCCTTAAACACTTGATTGTGTTAAAAATACATACCATTGTCTTCTGTTATTTGCATGACTTATGTTTGACTGAGGACCTTCAGAAATAAATTCTTCTAGCCACAAGTGTAAGGGCGAATACTGCCAGGTTGACAAGCATGGAATATACTGTAAGCATGAAATACAATTATGCATTCTTCGCCATTGGCAGAGTCAACGGAAAGTAACACTCGATTCATTTATACGGTCAACACACACACATATCTCACAATGACCACTAACTTTCACCCTGCTCTTTGTATTACTATTTGTAGCACAAGATTTACTGTAACAAGCAGATCTTTTCATTAAATAGGTCACAAAACATACGTATCAAGTATAGAATGCTGTATACAACTACTGGATGTTATATGGCAAAGAAACTATTCCTTTTCTATTCATTGTAATAACCTGTAACAGTATACAAGAACATTAAAAAAAAAGCAGATGGTGAGTCAAATCCCTCTTTGGTGTAACTCTCAAAGTCACTGAAGTTACATCAGTGATGAATTTGGCAGTTGTTATAATATGGATTACAAATTAAGCAGCACTGGAATAATCACTTCTACAGAGCTTCATTGTTTTAGGCTAGAAAGAGACATCATCTATGGAGCAGGATCAGCTGTTCTAGGATGTGTTCCTGCACAGCTGATCTGCTTCATTAGCATCTACAGATGTTACCAGGGCGGATGTCCTGCAGGGTCAGACCCTGCTGCACCCAGGGCTTCAGGGGCCCAATCCTATGGGACAATAGCTCCAGGTGCCAAGCTCCTGACTCAGGGCACAGCAGTGAGATACATGTCCTGAGGAAATCCCTGGCAAGGGATCCCT